ACAAGACACACACACACAGGCAGAGACAACACAGCGATACAAACACCAAGTCAAGACACAAGGCACACACACACACAGAGACAACACAGCGATACAAACACCAAGACACAAGACACACACAGAGACAACACAGCGATACAAACACCAATTCAAGACACAACACACACAGAGACAACACAGCGATACAAACACCAAGTCAAGACACAAGGCACACACACAGGCAGAGACAACACAGCGATACAAACACCAAGTCAAGACACAAGGCACACACACAGGCAGAGACAACACAGCGATACAAACACCAAGACACAAGGCACACACATAGAGACAACACAGCGATACAAACATCAAGTCAAGACACAAGGCACACACACAGGCAGAGACAACACAGCGATACAAACACCAAGTCAAGGCACAAAGGCAGATACACCAGCAGAGAAACACAAATACACAGACTTCATACCTTCCCGTAAAGGTGGTTCGAACTTGATTAGGTGCTTTCGTGACTGCAGGAATTACTCTTTGATTTTTTTCGTTAAAGTCACGTAGAAATAATATAAAAAAATATAAAAATATATTATTTCTACGTGACTTTACCGTAAAAAAACAAAGAGTAATTCCTGCAGTCACGAAAGCACCTAATCGAGTGTAGGCTAATTTGAAACAAAGGTGTGGGCTGCTGGGAGGGTCGCGTTGATCAGCAAAGGGCAGTGCATCAACCTCAACGTTGGACTCCACTTTTGCTCGCTCGCTTCACCAGCACGCGCTTGGCCGGCGTGTTGACAGCGCGTGTTGGCCCCCATCCAGCACGCTACTGGAGACGACGGTACGGCCGGAGTGCCTCTCGTTATCGTGCTCGGGTTAGGGCCCGCCGCTCGAAGGGATCACAGCCGATGGTCAAGACCGGTGAAGGAATTGGCACCCAGATATGGGAACATGTCTGAGAGGACGACCGCAGCAGAGATGCGGCAATAAAAACAACACATCGGCATGAGCAAGTCGATTGGCAGCATCTCCACACGACTGCGAAGGATGGCAATGGCGTAGGGAGGCCTTCGTGAAGCAGTGGACAGAACATGATGAAAAGTAAAACTACTTTTTTGTTTGTTATTTTACGAGGTGATGTCCACTGAGCTACGTAGCTCTTGTTCAGAAGCGACGTGGCCACACATGATAGCTCAACAAAGTGGCTTATCGCGTGGAAATTTAGACAAGCGGCAGCCAAAGACTCCAGACGCGCCGTGATGTTGATTAGAAATGTGGGAAGGGAAAACCGGAGGAGCCGAAGAAAAATCCACGCGACCACGGGGAGGACAGCGAGAGAGACACCGCAAACTCCAAACATGCAGGCGTCAGTGTCGGCCTCGAACCCGCGACTTCCTGCAAAACTAGACGAGGGATTAAACGTCTCGCCCCAAACATCGTCCCGACGATGTGCGGTGCATGGAGCCCGTGCAGTCCACGCCAGGTTTTTAAAACACCGTCCCGCGGGCGGCGGCTTTCAATCCGAGTCGAAGTTGGCGACGAGGACGCGTCCGTCTGAAGAGAGAGGGCGCCTGACTCCGAGTGAGCTCGGTCAAATCTCTTTTTGAAATGTTCTGCAAAGCGTACACCATGCGCCGACTCTGACCCCGACGCCACTCCACCCCGCAAGGTAATAGTTTAATAATTGAGATGAAGGGCTGTAGATTCGCGTGTATTTCCAGCGGGGTCAAATGTCACATTTGCATCGCCTCGAAAGCCGCAGTGCAAGTCACCGTCAACGAATAAACGGGATTATGTAAGCTGTGCACATTTCAAGATCAGATACGAACCCAAAAACTTACAAACACTGTAAGCAGGAATTTTTTTTCTTCCTCCTTTTATTGACAATTATGCACGGGTGACGTTGTACCGCAAACAGGGGGGGCTTCGTGCGTGCCGCTGTGAGGATGAGATTAGCCGGTGGGTCATTGTATCCTAGGTCCATGATTGCCCACGCTCAGAATTTCTTCGTAATTGTTAAATAAGGAACGGACCGAAAAATCGGAAAGTTTAATAAACAACGTTCGCTTCCTTACGAGTACATCAGATTCAACCACCTATCGTTGATTGGTCGCTTTATTTTACTCCGCTACTCCACATGTTATGGAAATCCCTTAACCAGCCGTCCGTGCTGTTGACTCCCCTGTGCCGATATTGTTGGTTCTTTCGGTAAAGTCACCAAGTAGAAGGGAAACAATAAAATAAAAAAATATAAAACAATAAAATTCTCACGACGTTTCGACTGCAACACAAGCAATCATTATCAGGTGTGAAAACCACAGCAAGAAAATTTTCAAAAAGTGGCGTTTTTTAACGTTAGCACCACGGAGAGCGATTTGGCAATTTGTTCAGATGGACGAGTCCATCTATGTTCGGAAAAGAGGAGGGGGGAGACGAAAATAATGGATGCGGTCTGAAAGCCACCGTAAGCGTGAACAATCAATTAAAACCCGAAATGGTTTATCAAATCGTGTTCACGTCCAGACTCAGGATGCTCATTTTAATCCTCTGCGTATCTTTAATAAAAAAAAAATCCAACTTTTTTTGTGTACAATGTCCTGAGATGCGGTCACATTTTAGATGCAATCTAAATACAAATTGTATGCGTGTATTGTATATGCTGAGCTGACAGGCTCTGGCATGCTGATGTAACGTGCAGATTTTCTACCAGGGCAAGTACCTGTGTGATTGAAAACTGGCTGATTAATGAGGTGAGGTTACCCTGACTTTCAACCAGCAGTGGCTGAAAACAAATGTTGCTGCTGCTGATGATCATAAATTTGTAATGGACTTTGTAATGAGGAATAATAATCATGCCAATGTCACCTAAGAAGATCCTGAGTCTCAAGACTCGTTTCCCAGGAGAGTCCTGCATTGTAATTTTCGACCAATATGATTCATCAAACCGCAGACATACGGGCAATATCAAAGTGAGCGCAAGCTTACTACGAAATCCAGCCGAAACGTTTGGGGAAAGATTTTAGTTCAACTGAAAGGATGATGGAATTGAAATACACTTCATGTAAAAATCGACCTCAGCTCATTCATACCCATTCCACAGTTTTGTGTGCACGCAAAGCCATCTGATTCAGCAAGGCTATTCGTACAAGCAGGCCCTGTCAGTATTAAAACGATGCATATGCAGACAATATATCTCCTTCACATATATGTCCCTTCCACATAATACATACATACATACGTTACACTTTCCGTCAACCACACGGCCTTCTGGGAGAGCATCATTTCAGCAGCACTGGTTCAACACAAGCAAGCTCTGGACCCGTTTTGCCATACGGTGTCTCAGTAGCAGAGTCAGGATTGATTGGAACGTTGCTGGGGATCATCCTTAAGGGCAAGGATCATCTCTTTAAGATAATGGTCCGAGTTTGACGCAAAATAAAATTCTACATAACACAAGCAAATGATTAGCGTCGTGCAGTACAGTATATAAGTAATAAAATAAATAAGCAGACGATAATTATCCGTCTATCTGTCAGCATGGATTTGTCACTGTGCGAGTTGTCGTGGAGGGAGAGTCAGTGACGTGACATTAAACGTTGCGTTACACTGGGGAAGTTTACTTCTGAAACTCGCATTGTGTTGTTCCAGCAGCTTTCGCAATGTCGAGTCCTCTATGTGCAGCTTTACCGAACACTTCCAGGAATGCTTGCGGAAACAGCGAGGTCACTGGCAGCGAGTTATCGGGGCAGAAGAAAAAACTACTCTGACGGCGAACCACATTAGACGCGAGTAGCTCAGCTATTACGACACAATATATTAAATTGTTGTAGAATGCAATTTGACTGGACCTTGCATTGTGCAGTCCATTATCATTCCCATGCGCTGGAAAAATAAACACAGGGGCTCAAGAAAAAAATCCATCAACTAAATAAAATACATGCCAGGAGTAAACATTTAATCTGTAATGGTCGCTGGAATTTTAGAAATGCCACATCTTTCCAGGCTTAAGAACAGGCTGGCGCAAATGTGTTTGCCATGCCAACGTACGACAACGTACGGCATGCATTTTTGATTTTTCTTCTTCTTTGTTTTGTTTTTAACGAGCTTAAATATTTCATCTCGTTATTTAAACCGTGAGAGTGGGAGGTTGGCAGTGGGGTGGGTGGGGTGTATATGATGATGATGATAGATGGAGGCCGCAGAAGGCCAGCTCTATCAAACTCCACCCACATCGACTCCGTATATGGTCTCTCGCATCTGACTCCGGGAGGAGCCCGGACGGTAGAGGGCACTTGACAGAGGCAAAACAGAAGCACTGGTGTGGTACAACGCGAACGCGCCGACCCACGCGTGCTTCGCCCGCTCGCCAGACACCCACATACAACAACCGCCCAGCCCAGCCCTGCCTCTCACAACTCCAATGCCGTGATTGAGAACTGGGTGCGCGCCACACACTCACTGATCGTATGCGCGCCAGAACGAGAGGCGTCAGTTTTTTTTATCTCTCTCTCTCCGTCTCTTTAAACCGCGGCCGCGGCGTTTGCGCTCGTAGACCCAAGCGCCAAGGCTCCGCCGTTCATTCCCACGGGCGGATTTTGGAGCGTTTACGCTGAAGGGCGCGGCAGGGCAGATGGGCTCCAGTGAATCTGCACTTCTGGAGGGAGGCACCTTGGAGGAGCTGGCCAACGTTCTGGGCAAGCCCACAACTCTCGCGGAGAGCCTGCTGAGTGCCGCTGAGAGTGCCGAGCGCTCCACGGGGGTTCTGTCAATTTCAGAACTCGGCCAACAACTTCATCACCATCATCAGCAGCAGCAACAGCAGCAGCGGCAGGATGACGAGGAGGAGAGGTGCGTGGGCACGACCAGACGTCCAGGGGGAGACGAGCACGGCGACGCCGTGCAGCAGGTGGTGCATCTCATGAAGACGGAGCAGCGAGAGGACGACGAGGACGACGCGGACCGAGAGCAGCAGCACCACGACGAATGCGGCGGAGTCCCGAGCTCCTCGTCCATCAGCACCCCGTCCACCTACAGCAACGCCGCCTCCACCTACACACCCATGTCCAGCAGCACTCCGCTGGCCACGACCTCCAGCCTGCCGGCGATGGTGCGGCCGTGGAAGCTGGCGGAATATGACCACCACCACCACCACCAACAACAGCAGCACGTTCTTCATCAACACCTCCAGCAGCAGCATCACCACCACCACCACCGTCAGGAGGACGATCAGGAAGAGACGCAGAGCCAGGAGAACGGGGGCCAGCAGCAGCAGCAGCTGCTCGGGAACCAGGGATTGTCCGGACAGCAAGACGCAGGTGGCCACGATGTGCCCGGCGCTTGCTCGGAGAGGCGCTACAAGAGCGAGCCGCTCTCCGTGTTCGTGCCCTCGGCAGGAGGCTACGGACCCCCCCCCGGGGCCCAGCTCCGGGGCTGGGTCGGGACCCGGTCCTGGGTCGTTGGGCTCCCCGGACACGTGGTTCCCGCCGCTGATGGTCAACAGGGAGTCACACTACTCCCTCTTCGCCCCGCAGAGGAGTCGCATCGCAGAGGAGTTCTACCACCCGCAGGGCGCGCATCCCTTCCCGGGACTTGGCCGGTGGGTGATCTTTCACTTTCGTTAAGTTGGCGTGGGTCGGAGGACGCGCGCACACACACACACGTGCAGCGCGCGCGCGCAGGTAAATAAGAACAATCGAAGTGGTTTACAGGATGTCAGACGACGACAACATCAACAACAACATCAACAACAACAACATTAACAACAACAGCAACAGGCGTGATGTTGCCGCGTTCGCTGCGGGGCACCGTGACAAATCGAATCACAACCCAATGCAGTAAACAACACCGTGGCCTTGAACGGAATGTCTATAAGAGTACCGTGTGTAATAGGCTGAGCTTCGTCCATCTGGTTTTTTTCATAGCACGAGAGATAGCTTTTGTGTGTTGAGCTTTTGTTAATCTCATCGTGGCTTGAAGGGAATTATTGACCAATGGTCAAGAATGATTACGGATCGCGTCTCGGAGGCGGCACGCCTGTGGAGGAGATGGAGCGATAAAACGAGCGGCCTGCGAAAGGGCTGTGTCGGGATAATTACGCCGCAATATCGTTTAGATGTGGCGACGGTTTTTGGGGAAGCCTTTAATCCAGCAGTGGATTGACCATGGCTGATGATGATGATGAAGGGACGGGGTTGGGGGGAGATGCGACTGTCGGCGATGACAACCTTGAGCCATGACGCACGCGGACAAGCCACGTGTCATCATCGACTTGCGGAGCTGCATAGACGTGTGTGGGGGAGCGGTGGCGCAGTGGTTAGCGCGCTGCGCTCACGGAGAAAGAGGGCCACGTGAGCGGGCGAGTGATCTCCTCCCCGAGAACTGATGCAGCGATCGGCGCTGGGGAGACAAAGGCGGTCGGGCGAGATGATGACATCTGCTCATGCGCCCTTCCGCCCTTTAATATGGGCTCGCAAATATAACTTGTTGGCCCAACAGTTTTAAGGCTACACTGGATTTAAAAATAAGTCTGTAATTGTACATGGTTGAATAATATAGTTGGGCAAAGGTTCAAAAGAAAGGTCTACGATCGTTTTTGTTAAAACTAGGTGAGGGGTTGTTTATTTAAAGTCAGATACTAACTTTATTTAGGACGAGGTGACAGCTCATATGGAACCTGGTGAGAGGATTGTTTAGAAGAAAATGAAAACTCATTTGCATGGAGACCTTTGTCCAGTGTAATTCTTTTCACACTTGCTCCCTATTAAATGGAAACTAATCAGACAATGTTTTTTTTTCTTCATGTAACCTGCCACTGGAATGTTTTTTTATTGGGGTATACAATTACATATAAGTGCTGCCGTATTCAATTTGTACAGAATTTATTTTTGTTAACTATCAATTACGTGATTTAGTGGATTAGAGTACCGTGCCGCGATGAATATTGACAATAAAAATAATGGAACCGTTTTATTTCGGGGGGGGGGGAGGAAGGATAATTGCATTTGGAAAATTGTATCGCACAACCAGAGCCGTACTGTTTTGTTTTGTTTGGTGACGTTAGAAATCTCGTGAGCGACGCATGAGCCCACCGGTGACTTGACCCAGCCGTAGTTCGGTTCGGCCCCAGTCGGCCGCCCTGGTTATTGCGGCTGGTGTGTGAATACGGGATTTCTGCTGCACGGCGGTGGATGTTAACGTTCCGTTACGTGGCTGCGTCGTTGGTCCCAACATTTTCCAAAATGTAAACATTGTATTCGCACATTACCCTGTCGCAATTTCACAAAGTAGATTGCTCCACCCTGGCAGAATATATACGTCTAAAACATTGTGCCTTCGTGACAACCCAGCGCCATGAGAATGGGGCGAATATCAAATGTACTAAATTCTTGTAATTAAAAGTGTGTGATGTTGACTGGGTGGATGACATAGGCAAGAGACCATACAGATTCCTGTGATTTCCTGTTCCAATGAGCATTGAGGCATCGCTCATCAGCTTTACAGCTTAGGAAATTCTGCATTGTCGTGACAGGGGTCAGTTCACCCATAGGATAGCCACTGTTGACTTCCCTTACAGGGATACACATTCTACTGACCGACGGAGGGAGTCAACCCCTCAATAGGATTTGAACTCGCAATCTTCCCGTTTGCTCGACCGCTAAGCCACCTGGCCCGATATATAAATGTGTCTTATGCACTGTCCTATGATCCCAAAGACCCAGGTATAAATCCTTGCCACGCACAGTATATCAGATTTCCCTGGCATCCCCTAGGTTGACTAAAATAGCGACCATGACTACCTAGCATGGACATCTACACCAGCACTGGTCGTGTGCTGGTACTGGCAATGCCACTCTCTCTCTCTGGGTCTCCGATAGCCGCGTACTACGAACAGAGTTTGCCTAAATTGTCCGACTGAGAGTGCGATCTTTGTCTAATTATATAATATGTGGAGATAAAGTCTGTTGTTTTGTTTTCAGTAAAACGTATTTCCAGACCATCAGCAAATTTTCTGTATGTAACTCGACCTGTTTTTACTATCGTATATTTTGATCGTAGGTATATACATAGCCGTGGTCGCTGGTTGCTGCCTTTTTCTGCGATTATCATTTAATGTAAATTTCGTCATACTCTGGGATGGGGAGAGTGGTTATTGGGAGGGTTGTACGTGGATGAGAGCCAGAAAAGTGTTTACAGAGAAGGACGCTAAGGCACGCATCAGCGTGACATGAGGATTGTACATTCGTTTTGTAATAGTCCAACCAAAATTGGGATTTGGAGGGCGGATGGAGGAGCGGCCCAGCAGTTAACACGCTGCACTCTGAACCCTGATATCCACGGCCAGTAATATTTCGACTTGCAGAGCCACCCACTGCCTTGACCGTCCCGTACTAACCAACCAGTGTGGGCAAGTGGAGGTCAACCCCCCCCCCCCCCATTGCCAACATGGTTAGGGAAGGCCTTCAAGGCATCGTGCTATTAACAGAGGGGCTGGAGCTTAACTATTGGTTCATCAATTGACGTGTGTGTACCAAATGTCGTAGAAAGAAAAGTCAGTGACATTAGGGGTGGTGTTCTTAGGAAACAAAACAATCTGATGGTATTCAAGTGAGTTAACAGTTTAATTTCAGTAACGCGCATTATAACCCAACCGACCCTTCAAATGCCTACGTGTGTGACGGTGCAATATTTATTTTTTCGCCCATGCGGTGTTCGTACACTCACTCTTTAACGGCAGCGGCACGGACTCTTTAATAGTAATAATAAAATACAAAATACTGTACAGAGCGAAGGTAGTTGAATGTCGTTGTTATTGCTGTTGCTTTGTAAACGGAAGGCCGAGTTGGTATGTGTGTGTGTGTGTGCCCGCATCCGTATCAGCGCGCTCGGAGGATTTCCTCCGCTGTCGTTCTTCCAACTTTGACTGCGGTGGGCACTTGCCCGAAGCTTGCGCGTAAGCCGGTGGACGCTCCACCGCCGCAGCCTCTGCTCGTTGTGCCGATGGCGCCACTCTCTTCCTTCCCCGTCGCTGCGAGATACATTCGCGCACACAAAGTCCGCACGTATTTAGATGCGAGCCATTGCCAAGGGGTCGTGTTGCAGTCCACCGTAGGGGCCGAGGGGGCAGGCGGCGTCCTCAAAAAATGGCGTTTATGTGAAACTTTTACACGGAGCGCAAATATTGCGATAGCCGAGCCGTATCCAGAGCTTTCTGGCAAAGGGGAAACATAACAACACTGGGCAGCATATGCCACAGAGGCGGGGATGTCAGAACTTTGTGTTCGTACAGAACTCGCCCCCCCACCCACCCACCCACCACCCTCGCTTATCTCGAAATCCAGTGGGGAACTTTTGTGGAGCACGTGTGAAACGCGTGGACATTTTTAAGGGGCCACTGGCGTTCGACCAGGACCGTGCATGCATACAGCTTTTCGTTAAAACGACGCGGAGACAACGTTGTGCAAAGGGCCCACTCGGCCTTTGTGCATTGTGCACTAACCGTCGGCAGTTCCTGAAGGACTGCATTGCGGCCCTCTTGCCTGGGGGTCACCATCGAAATTAGTCTGAGTCAATGCGACCGGCTGACATTCAGCGGCAAGACCGAGTGGCAACTCGACCGGCTCTGTCCTTATTAGGACTCATCAGTACGGTAGGGTCACCAGTGCTTACTGCTGCAAAGTGTCTGCCTCTGGGAATCATAGATGCAGAGTCTCTACTTTCGACACGAGGCCGAGTATGCATCAGAAAGCGAATAATTCCAAGACAAATATCCTCTATGGCTTCTTACTATCAACACCAGACTATGGAATTTGCAGCGTTGCCTTTCGTAATAATATGGAAAGACTGGAATTGGTTTGATTTAAATTTTCTTTGATCATGGAAAGGCAGAGAGATCTAGAACTGAAATCATAAGTTAATGCGTGATACCTGTGTGCAGTGCTCCGTTCAATCATGTTTCTTAAATTATGTTGACGCTTTGGGGAATTGCTATATGTTTGTGCGGGGCGCCATACAAAGAAATACGCGACGATGATAATTAATTCACCGAGCCACTGGTCCAACCTGTACCTTCACTTCACTCCACTGACCTTACCGACCATTGTTGTGAAGTATAATTAATCTAACAACCCCATCTGACATGCCACTGCTCCAGAGACCCTCATCCAGTGGGCCTGCCCATGCCATGTCGAGTGAACCCGAGAGGATATTTGCTCCGCTCGTCCACGTTGAGCCAGGCGCATTTCATCCAACAGCATTATTGAATGATTACCTTCCACTTGGCTGTAACTCACGCCGGTGCGGGGAGCGGTGGCGTGCAACCGTACATCCTCCGCCTTTTGCAGGAGGCCGTGAGAGCACATTGGGAAGCCGATTCTACGAGAGATTCATAAACACACCTCAACCATAAACGTAATTCGATGAGCAGATAATAGTCAACGGTGATGGGCAAAATATTTGCATGTATCAAGTACACACCTGCATGCAGCAATATTCCGTATTCAACTCATCCAATAGTTGTGCCTACTGCGCGTGTAAGAAAAACCCAGCGTTCGCTTGGGCAATTTTGTAAACAAATAGAGCCCTGTGTTTGGGGAGGTA